CAGTATATAAACAGAGAACAAACCCCATTTCATTCTAGCACTGAAGATGTTACCTAGCCAGATAATGAAACGTTTGCAAGAAAACAACCAAGCTCAGAGAACCCCAAGAACTCCACAGTTCAACCCTGAGCTACACATATTCGCTTCTATTAGTGACCACTGTGCTAAACCAGAAGTGTACCACTTTTTGCAGGGTAAAGGTCACCACTGGACTTTGAGTGGTATGGTGGGAAGCACACTCCCAAAAGTAGGGTGGGCCAGGACAGAAACTAAATTTGACTTAATTCACAATTATATTTAATTAAAATGCAGTTAATAGGAGTACTCCAAATTATTAGTGATTTTTCCTTTCAGTCACATGAAAAATTATTTGGTGGCAAATTTTTGGACAGGTCCTGAAGACTGCATGTCACCCTAATTCTTCAGATTATGACCTTTTGCTAAATACTTACATTATATTATTTTCAGTAAAGTTAGGCTGATACTTTTGTAGAGGAAATAGCACATTGAAGGAACTACCCATATTGATTAACACAGCTGTTATATCAAATAATGATGGAATCCATGGCTTTTGTTGGTTATTGTCATCAGAAACTGCAGAGAAAAAAAAGTGACAATTTTCTCTTCAAGCCAGAGAAACTGAGAATGCAAGCATCAGGAGTTTGCTTAAGAATAACTATGTAATTTCTGAATATAGTAAGCAGAGCAGAATATAGTAAGCAGAGCAGATATGATATGATCACAACATATTTTTCAGATTACAGCAATTATGTTTCTTGAAGCAAAGTATACTTTCTAAAGTTTTTTCCTATCATTCTTGTACTTCTCCTCTACATAATGATATTCAGAAGAGCAAATATCTATAAATAATCAGTGTTATAAAACTGAGAAAGTGGTTGAAAATATTGTATCTGCACAGAATATCTTTTAAATGGTATATTCTAAAGGCCCCCAGTCTGTTTTGCTATCAGTTAATTGCATCAACCAAATTCCAGTTTCTTTACAGATATATACAGTATCTCTATCATTACATTTTTACTGTACTGATAAATCTATCATATATCACCTAGAATAGGAATCCTATCAATCACATTACTGTATTTTTAGATTAATCTGTTTAAGTTAGCAGCAAAATTTAATCAAATTTCATTTGAATGAGTTATGTAGTAAGTAAGGTTACAAGATCTCAAGTTTTAGTTCAGATACTTACCATTTCTAATTGTTAGTATCATCAACATATCCAAAATTTTTCTTGAAAGTGAGCTATCTGGATGAATTGACATCATCTATTTGAGAAAAACAATATTTAGCAAACTAAAATGTATTTTTTTACAGATTTAGTTAGACCTTAATATAGCATCTCCTAAAACTGGGATCAGCAACATGATGTCTTTGAGTGCCATAGGAAATTGCTATGACCCGATACACCCCCCTACTCCCATTACTTTGGAAGAATAAAGTAGGATTTGAAATTTTCCCTGGAGCATTCCTAGCCAGCTAGCTAAGTTAGTGAGTGTGTTCTACCTTTACTTGTTTAGGGTTTTTTTGAGAGGAAGATAGTTTTTCAGTGTTTTACAGATTAATTTTTTTCTTCCAGATTTGCTCTCTGTGTTTGAGAGGATCATTTTACTTTTTCATTTTGCTTTTGAGAAGTTGGAGTTTCTCAAAACATCACCTTTTTTTCTGTGAAACTGATGTATCGTGGTACTGCCTGGAAGCAAACATATTGCTTGGCATCAACCTTTACTTTGTCCCTTGTGAGTAGACAGGCCTATTGTAGCCACGGTGCCTATAATAATTCATCATATTTTCAAATGTGTTCACAATTTAAAAACATGAGAAACACCTGCTTCCTCACAACAGAAGATAGTGATTTGCTAAATGATTTACCTTCTTTTTTTCCTGAAACAGAATGTTCAAATTTAGTACAGCTATAAAACATTTTTTAATGCCATGCTTATCCTTATAGAACCCATTTTGATGTGGGAATAAAGATACGGTAGATTACTAAAATGAATAGTTTCTTAGACTGGCCTGGGGTACTTTTGGCATTCCTACATTCAACATGTAGGGAACAGTCTATTGTCCTAAAATAGTGGGAGGGAAAAAGAACAGACAAACAAATGGAAGATGTGAAATGCAAAGTATCAGATTTTTAGCATTATTGAACATAATCTCATAATTCTTTTCTAAATGAAGTAAAGCTAAATGAGACTATTCATTCTGTATGCTAATGCTGTTCTTATTAACACTGTAACATGGCAGCAATACTGGCTAAAACTGTAAAAAAAAAAAAAAGGCACCCCCCCCCCTCATTTCTTGGATTTGGCAAGTGATCAAGCTCCAGCAACTAAGAGTCAAGAGTGGGGAAGTGGAAATAGGCAATGCAGAAAACTAAAGTTGTGAACTAATTACAGTTCATATTCATTATGTATTCAATTACATCCATCCAATGCATAATAAAATATAACTTACCTGAAACATCCATTTTAAAATTGGTACAGGACAAGAAGAATTATGGTAAGTAGATACAAGTAAGCCTTCAATAATTACAAAAAGCTGCTGTGTTATTCCCCATCTGCAGAAACAACCACAAACTAGGGATCAATCTGGTATCTTCAAATTTAGCCTATCTATTAACATTCAAGGATTCAAAACAATCAAACTCAGAAAGCATCTATAAGCTAGGAATGACTTTCCAAATTTTGGGGAAAAAAATAATATGCCAAGAGAACAGGGACTACATTAAAATATCCATTCTTACCTAACAAGATATTGTTCAATCGGATTTTGAGGATGAAAATCAAAGTTTCTCAAATCAAGATTATTCTGGTTGAAGATTTTCCCAGCATTCGCTATTTGAAATATGTTTTCTCCTGGGTGCTGGTCAGGAATGGCATCATGGCTGAATGAGTATCTTTCTATAAATTCTCTGTAAGACAAAATTATATCTGGAAACATACTAAAGAGAATTTAAAGAACAATTATTCTGAATGTTAATTCACCTCAATTTATTGGCCTGGCTGAGATTTTCACTTAAATAGCATGTGGGCAACCTATATACAGTGGGGCAAAAAAGTATTTAGTCAGCCACCAATTGTGCAAGTTCTCCCACTTAAAAAGATGAGAGAGGCCTGTAATTTTCATCATAGGTATACCTCAACTATGAGAGACAAAATGGGGGAAAAAATCCAGAAAATCAAGGTATACCTCAACTATGAGAGACAAAATGGGGGAAAAAATCCAGAAAATCAAGGTATACCTCAACTATGAGAGACAAAATGGGGGAAAAAATCCAGAAAATCAAGGTATACCTCAACTATGAGAGACAAAATGGGGGAAAAAATCCAGAAAATCAAGGTATACCTCAACTATGAGAGACAAAATGGGGGAAAAAATCCAGAAAATCAAGGTATACCTCAACTATGAGAGACAAAATGGGGGAAAAAATCCAGAAAATCAAGGTATACCTCAACTATGAGAGACAAAATGGGGGAAAAAATCCAGAAAATCAAGGTATACCTCAACTATGAGAGACAAAATGGGGGAAAAAATCCAGAAAATCAAGGTATACCTCAACTATGAGAGACAAAATGGGGGAAAAAATCCAGAAAATCAAGGTATACCTCAACTATGAGAGACAAAATGGGGGAAAAAATCCAGAAAATCAAGGTATACCTCAACTATGAGAGACAAAATGGGGGAAAAAATCCAGAAAATCAAGGTATACCTCAACTATGAGAGACAAAATGGGGGAAAAAATCCAGAAAATCACCCCCATTTTGTCTCTCATAGTTGAGGTATACCTATGATGAAAATTACAGGCCTCTCTCATCTTTTTAAGTGGGAGAACTTGCACAATTGGTGGCTGACTAAATACTTTTTTGTATATATATAGTCCTATATATATATATATACATTCCAATATATAGTCCCTTTATACTTCCTGTGACTTCTAGCTAACTTTAGAATATCTAATAAAGCAGCTACTATGAAAAGAAAGAGGAGACCTTTAGGAGTTAGAGCAACCCAGAGTTATGCTAAGTTCATGTACTGTACTAAGACACAGTTATGTATGTATATATGTATCTATCTATTTGGTTTAGAATGTTGAACTAAATCAGTTCTGGCTTATTGAATAGCATGATTACAACAAACCATGGCTGAGCATGATGCATGAACTCAGATACTGAATGACAATGTACCCAAACAAGTATAATTTAAAAAATAATTAGAAAGCTAAAAAAAGGGAGTAGACTACAGAAGTCAATATGACAGAGTATTTCACTAACTGTAACAACATAAAAAAGCAACTAGTACACTGAAATCAGAAGACCAACCTATGTTCAGCAGATAGTTCACCATCAGTAGATTGATCTTCAAGTGGAGAGTTTATTTCAGCTATCCCTTTGACTTGCTGTAATTGGTTCTCTAGTTCATCTACCCTGAAATGAGAGATAAAACTTCTTTCAAAAGAGTCTTGACCTCTGATTATAAAAATAAACTTTACAGCAACTTTAAATATTTGCAATGTTATTCCCTTGTGAAGAGGTCAGTCTAATAGTTTGTCTGTTATCAGAACCTGATACAATAATCTAGAGTAAATTACTGAATTTCACTGAAACGTATATTTTCTTTAATGGGATTTTGATAAAATCAGCTGTGCAATCAACCTAACAACTGAAATGAAAAGTAATTGCCTGGGACTGTTAAATGATAAGGCCATTCCCTCCCCTTTCCCCCACAACAGATATCACAGCATAGCAGCATTATCCATGATTATCCTTTTAAAATAAAATCTGGTAGTCATGTCACTATATAGTCTACAAACATACTGTAACATGATAGATGTAAGCACATTTCTGGTCATAAAATAAAAGTGCTAAAAGACCCATTTCAGTGCCACTGAAAATAGTAAAACAAGGTTGTCTGCTTTGAAGTGGTAGGACAATAACCTGAGATCACTTTCAGGTACAGAAAGGTGAGAAGATGGGCTGTACAAAGAAACTGGGAAACTGATCTTCAATTTTGCAGGGAAAATTATTGCATTAAACAGCTTCTACAACACATCTATAATGTTATTTGATTCATATATCACCTCTGCAACTATCACATAATTTTAATAACTAAATGAAAGAAAGGTGGCATATAAATTTAATAGAAGATAATACATGTAGCTCAGGGTTGAACTGTGGAGTCCTTGGTGCTCTCTGACCTTGGTTGATTGTTTCATTACCCAAGTAGGTAACATCATCAGTGGAGTGAGGGATTAAGCAGGGATTAACACCAGATGAACAATCAAGCAGAAAACAATACCCCAATCAAGGAACTAACAAGGAGAAAACCACACCCCCACCAACACTGAGTGAGCAAGCTACTGTATATAAACAGGGAGCCAACCCCACACTCACTAGCACTGATGATGTTACCTATCAGGTAATGAAACATCTGCAAGCAAACAGCCAAGCTCAGAGTGCACCAAGGACTCCATAAACTTAATACATTAAACTACTACTGAGATTCTGGTAGCCTTTGCTTTAGTTTATTACTAATTTTACTGTCTGGGAAAAAAAAGTGAGAAACCTTTATTATTGTTCTTTTGTTTTTTAAACTCATTCATTAGCAGTCTAAAGAAACAAGTTGGAAATCTTTGTTAACTGCTCTTTTGTGGTAATGTCCCAAGGGCACAAACAGGAAAGTTACTGTGGAGTCCTTGGTTCTCTGAGTTTGGTTCTTTTCTTGCAAATATTTCACTACCCGGCTAGGTAACATCTTCAGTGCTAGAATGGAATGGGGTTTGTTCTTTGTTTATATACTTTGGCATGCCCTGCCAGTGTTGGGGGGGGGGGTTGTTTTGTTCTATTTTTTTCCTCTGGTAGTTCCTTGATTAAGGTATTGTTTACTGCTTGTATGTCTGGTAGTAACCTTGGAGTTAATCTCTGCTTCTCTGGGTTGATGACTGCTGGTGAGGAGCTGTTCTGGTCCTTTGTTTTCTTTTCTATTGTCTCTTTTAAATAGTGTGTAGATGCTGTTTATCTCTATGTGTCTGTTAATCGCTGCCTTGTCTGAATACCAAGCTTCCAAGAATTCCCTTGCACTTTTGGATTTAGCTTGGTCTAAAATGCTGACAGTTTCCCAGTTAAAACTATGGTTATATCTGTCCATGTGCTGATTTAGCTTGGTCTAAAATGCTGACAGTTTCCCAGTTAAAACTATGGTTATATCTGTCCATGTGCTGATTTAGCTTGGTCTAAAATGCTGACAGTTTCCCAGTTAAAACTATGGTTATATCTGTCCATGTGCTGTGAGGGCATGCCACAGTATATTAACAGAGAGAAAATCCCATCCCATTCT